TTTTTTCTTCCTTTAAAAACCTATCCCAGCAATCTTTTAGACTTTTTTCAGTTTTGAAAAGTTGCTACACTGTCAATGCTAAATATAAAGCCTTTGGAGTTAAAAATGTATAAGTCAGTACCATCTTCTTGGTATTGTTCTGTCACTTGCCCTGTACAGCAACACCTCTGGAACAGATTAAAGTGTCAAAATAATTCTGTGAAATATGATCTATCCCAACAGTCTTAAAATATGAAGTCCTTAATGTTAGGTACCCTTAAATTTGTAACCTAACTGGGTATATGGTTGACTACTGTTTAGTCTGTGAAATGTGTCCTAGGAATTGTGATATGATTCCCTCAGACCCCTTAGATGTCACCAAATCTAATCCTTTCCCCAGTGCATAAGCAGGTTCCCTCTCAGTTCCAAGTTTACATTCAACATATTAAGTGATAATCATTATGTCCATGTCTTGCTAAGCCATATTTATAAATCAAAATTTTATTTGGGAAAATTTTCTCCACTTATACTAGTTCTTTAAGTTATGTACAGGTACACACTGCACATAGTAAGTGCTCAAATGGTTTGCTGGATGAGTGAATACATGCAGGAATGGCAATGTTCAGATGTTCAGTGCTTAACTAGCAAGTAGCATTTAGAAAAATATCCTCATTTGTTTGCCTGTATGAATCTTTTACCTTAATTCTTAGAAGAACAAAGACTGTGTGACCCAGGAAATGGATGATTAATAAATATCTTTTAGCAAAAATTTTAAATATAAATATGAACCAGTAAAAGGGAAAAAAGAACTAAGTAGGAGCAACTGTAAAAATACCCCACTATGTGGCCTAGAATCATAGTTTTAGAACTGGAAGGTGCCTTAAAGATTATTTAAACCAAAATAAAAATTTTGAGTAACAGAGACACCATACTGTAAATACGGAAGAGGACACTGAGGTAAAAAAGCTAAGTACGGTAATTGCCCAAGTGTCACACACAGCTAAATTAACCCCAGTCTGCAGGCCAGGGTGTTTTATCTTTACTCTTCAAGTTAATTCACTGATCATGGTCATCTATTACTTCCTATGGAAGAAGATTATTTACTCATCATTTAATACTACCTAAAACAAAGAAAAAGAGAAGAATTACTTTTAAGAAAGCAATCTAAACAAAGATTTTAAACACTGGACACTTCTGGTTACTTGAGGCAAGACTTAAAATTCCTTCTTTCTAAAACAGGTTGATGTTTATTTCACAGATGACAATAAGCCCCACTGCTCTACTCTAAACACCAATGTCTTCACGCTGTCAATTAAAGCTCCACAAAACATGGATTTAACAATGATAATAGTCTGTGAAGTGTAACTTTTAAGCCAATAAATGATGGCTACTGTCAATCCAGAAGATTACTGGACTTGGTTTAAATAGGTGGTCTAAAAGGACTTACTAGATTGCTCTTCTATTTAAAGCTATACCACGTTACTATAAAGTTTTAAATTTCTATTAATTTCTTCCAATTAAGAATCATTCATTACTATACTGCTTTTAAACAATGCCTTTTATTTTTTTGCACAGGTTTTCTTTCTGTGGATTCATACTGAATGCCACCAGTGTCACTCAGTGAGAGCAATAGTTGTACTGGTGAAAGGCAGTAGAAAAAAATATTTTTCTAAAGTATAAAGCATTAGCCAGAACCTCATTTTGTACTGCTTCTCCAATCCTCTGAGATTAAAACTGCCATTTGTATTTCCCATAAAAGTTCAGAAGCTATAAAAAGGGAGCAAATAATACATTCATGGAAAAACTTCCCCAAAAGGTTCCATGTGTGTGTGTGTTTAAATCTAGCTCCAAAAGTACAAAGCGTAATGGAAGAATTTTCATTAGAGAAGCTGAGCTTCAGATTTAAAGAGGAGGGGATGAACTCCCCTCAAATCTACTTTTACTAAAGTGGAACTTCAAAGTTCAGCAAAAGACTTTTTCTCTGGAATATGATGGTAATAACTGTATTGGTTTAGTGCTTTACAACTTTCAAAAAGGCTTTCTCATAGTCTAATTTTAAATAGGTTAAAGAAGCTATAAAAAATAATACATAAAACTTTGAAAATTCTTAGAAATTTAGGAAACTTTTTCCAAAGATAATTTTAAACATTTTTTATTGAAGAAATGGCTTGTATTGCTGCCATGAAGGAAACTGCACACTGATATATTTTATGAACCTCTAACAAAAGAGAAATATCTTCCCAGACTTTTTTAAAAAGATTTACAGCTTTAACAAGTTGAAATTAAATTTTAGTAAGAGTACATATTTACTTTTCTTAATACTGTATTTGTGCTTATCTAAACTGAATCACAATCTTTGAGATGAAATCAAATGCTCTAATTTTACAAAAGACCAATATTGATGAATGTCAGTTAAACAGTTTACTTCCTGATCCACACTGCTGTGCACCAAAGAAATAGAGGTAGGCATGTGTTTACTGAAATCCAGACTAGTAAAGAGAAACCTATAGCTCTTAAGTCACCCAATTCTCAACTGAGACACAACCTAACAAATGAAATACTATTTTTAAAATGCCCTTCTTTATAACAGTCTACAAGGTTGATTCAGTTGTGACATCTGAAAATGGCACTCCTCTGTAACTCTATTACACAAAATGAATAACTTACTATGGGGACTATATATGCTCCAAAGCGCAAGCTCCCTTGATACAGAGAGTGAAATAATGAGTTTGATTACAGGTGGATCTTGACATAATAAAAACAACCTGTTTATTGCTATAACTGGGATCCAACAAATACAATTTATTATTCTGAACTACTGACAAAGGCCGTATCTATACCACATGACCTCACTTAGTTAACTGTACCAGCCTCTCAGGTCTGGAATGCTTTTCCTCCTATCAGCCCCCTCCTTCTTCACTTCTCTCCTTTATTGTTCCCCCCAGAAAAGTCCCCTCAGGGCCCAGCTAGTTATATATGGTGCACAAGAAATAGGCCAAGCACACATTTTGCATAGATAGGCCAGTCTCCACTGCCCAAAGATGCCACTGACATATGACTGTCAGGTACCACACAGTCTGGCCCCTGCTGCTCCCTAGATCCCCACTGCAAAATCCTCTCTGAGCATTGTCAGGCATAGGTCTCTCTCTGAAGAAAGTTTTCAGGCAGAGTTTTCTTGGGGCTGGGGGAGACTTAGTGGAGGTAAAGAGAGTGAGGCCCTTCACGCCATTAGGTAACGCTCACTGCCAGTTGTGCACCAACAGCATTTGTTCCTACCACTCCCCAAGAGTGCGAACCTTCAAACCACAAAATGTAACCAGCCTATTCTGTTGAAAATGTCTCTCTTAAAATGTTTTAACTGTGTCCAGCCAGGAATTTCATCCACTGGATACAGCTATTAGGATTAGCATCATTCACATACATCATAATAGTTTATTCTTTCCAAAACTGTTTTTACTCATATCTGACTATAATGATTTCATATTTGTTATGTGAAGATGAGCTGTGTCAAGAATTATTCAAAGGCGTGGTCACAACACTTGTTCCATACAGTTCTAGTGTTTCAGCAGACCAGGAACAAAGATACAGTGGGATGCCTAAAAGAAGAAAATCATGTCTCTTTAAAACTAGGTAGAACATAAATAATCACTTCAAAAGTGCAAAAATTTGTTCAGTGTTGAAGTGGGCTAGACCAAGTGAAGTGGGAGGATTCTTGTCTGCCTCTTTTCCATTCTCAAGCTTCTCCTAACATTTCTTCGCACCCATTCCACCTTCTCTACCCCTGGGTGACAGAACCAAGGAAAACAAACAAACTTCTGTTTAGAAGATGCCATGGCAAATTTAACGTATCATGTAAATAGCTACATGCCACTAAGAAGGTGACAGGTGTTGGGATAACACTCTGTCCCACCCTATGCTGACTGTATCAAAGCTGCACAGCTGTGTTTTACGTATGCCTACACAAAGCGTGCTTGATAAAAATTAATGTCGTAGGAAAAGTAAAAATTACGAACCAGCTCACTCAAGCTTGTTTACTTTCCTAGGAGAAGAAAGCTTAAAGGAAATAAAATTTCAAACTTGTGTTTTTCCACCCAATGGGAAAAGAGTGCATCAGTTAAAAGATATCAGAAAATGCAAATTTAGTTGGCAAAAACAGGAAGATTCTCCCATGTCCCCTCTCTGCTTGTCATTCTCTTCCCCCAAACAAAATCCTAAAACAACTAGTAATATGAAAGAAAATGAAAATAAATGTACCCTCCCCACCTATATATCACCTACTAAATGGCTTCAACTGTGCTTGAGGCTCAGGAAAGAGGTGGTCACCAGTGTTATCATCTATATGTTCATTAAATATAATGGAAGCTTTGGAATTAAGATGAAGAAAGCAAATGAACCACTTCTAGATAACACAATTCACTTGAAAAAAAACAAGTGTATTTTTTGGGTATATTTTGAGTGGGGACAACGGAAAATCTGTACTGCTCTTATAATAGATTACAGGACACTCTCAAACAGAAACGTCTCTTGTAAGCCCCTCTTGGATACTTAACACAGTGGTAGGCACAGGGACTTTTGACAAGTACCTAATGACTAATACCAGAAGAGGGTGTAAATAAAAGTTAACACCGTAAAGGCTATTGATTGATAATAGAGTTATGGGAGATAATCATTGCTAGGGGTGTCTAATGCCAAATAATCAATTTTGTATTAATTATTTGTGGATTATCTGTGATAAAGTTTTAATTCCAGGGGAGAGTTTCCTCTGTGCACCACCTATATAGCGGGCCATCTCATGCTTAGCCTATACTTGTGTTCTGAAATTCTGAAAAAAGATGAGGGGAAATTGTATTCCAAAGTCAAGTATACTGACAACTAATGAATGAAAACTTACTATAGAGTACCTACTTTCCCTTGAAATTTTAATCCAATATTTAAAATATGACATAAAGAAATATGTAACATAGACACAAGCTACTGTAGGTCTGGAACATGAGCCTTATACTATATTACACTTTCTAACCCTACACTATCAGTAAACTTTTTTTTTTTTTAAAAAAACCATTACTACACAAAAGAATCTCACAAAGCATACATTCAAACAAGAGGCATCTGAAAGATTAAAAAAATTACCTGCCGTATTTCTGTATAAAAATAATCAACATTCTCTAATGTACACAAAGCCAAAAGATAAAAATCTGTGACGTCTGTACTGACATCTTTAGTCTTCTTCTAGCTCAACACAATCTTTCTGAAAAGAGCAGTGGAGATGACTGAAACTCACGGATTCTTTCTCCACTTACTGCATTTCCGCCAAGTATCTGTATGTTCCCTCGATTATTAAAATATCTCAGTTATGTGGTAAAGATATATGAAAAGATTAAAACAAAACCTGCATAATCTTCTCAAATAAAATTTTCAATGTAAAGCTCTCCAGGCTCCCACGAACGGTTTTAAGTGTTGTAATTCTATAGAATATAACTTTGCTCAGTGAAAGATTTTGCTTTAAAATGTCTTCCTTAAAAATGTACATACAAAATTAGATCTGAGAGATACCACTTGGTAAGTGCTTTGCAGGAAGCATGCAAGGGTTTAGTAAAGGAAAAAGGAATGTGCATTCTAGCTAGACCCAGCATGTTCAACATTAGAAAAAATCCAAAGAACAACCACATATCCTCTGCAGACTATTTCCTTGCCAGCAAAGGCTGTGCACTGGTTCATAAGATATAATCATATTATCCCTTCAGTGCAGAGGAGCACAGAGATATGAAAGATAATTAATGTCAATCAGTACTTTCTCAGAGTCAACTTATTTGGAAGCTAGTCCTTATTTTATAGGCCAATTCATAATGGAGATTGTCCCCTCTTTTTCTAGTATGCCTAAAACTGGAGGAAAAAAAGTTTAGCACACCACTGACGTTATCTGAATAATACTCCCATTGTATATGTATTTCTTATTATATTCTATCATTACAAAATATCCCTTTGGGTGAAAAAGAGCAATAATTAACACTCCTCATTCCACTTCAAGGTTTCTCAACCTCAGAACTACTGACATTTGAGACCAGATACTCTTTGTTGTAGAGGGCTATCCTGTGCATTGGAGGATGTTTAGCAACAACATCCCTGGCTTTTACCCATTAGATGTCAGTAGCAACTCCTCCCTGCCCCCATCCTCAGCTATGACAACCAAAATGTCTCTAGACATTGCCAAATGTCCCCTGGGGAGCAAAATTTCCCTCCCGTTGAGAACCACTGCTCTACATGCACAAAAAAATGAGAGAACACTAACTTTCTCAGTCAAGCCAAACTCTTGGTCAAGTTCAGGATAGAAACCAACTCATCCGACTTCCGGATCACCACTGTTCATGCTAGAATGCAGTCCTTTTTATAGGCACAGCATTTGTCTAAAGGACTCGTTTTGTTAAAATGCACATAGATATTTCATTGCATACAACGCTAGTCACTGGACTCCTAAATTATTCCATAACATAGCTCTTATGACAACCTTTAAAAAACTAACAGGGTACAAAAACGTGTAAGAAAAACAAATCAAAGGAGGAGAAATGTAAATCATTAAATAACTTTTAAAATGATTCTTTATATTAATGCAAACATCACCCTTAAAAAAATTATCTAGTACAATGTGTCTGTTTGAAAAATATTATGACCTTCTATAACAAGTCTTTCACTGATGCATGTAACCTGTAAAATTAATTTCACCAATGTTGGCTAATTATTAAAATGTATGATGAATTATTTCATCTGTAGAAGAAATGCCAACATTTATTTGATGCGGAGATCCCAATGTGCTTGGCTATCCACCACAACGAGTGTTAATATTCCAGGCCGACTTGGGCCTTTACCTTACAAGTCTGTTTGAGAAGAGTAAAACTGCTGTTATCGCAAAGCCTCACGTTCCTGTTAAGATTCCTTCAGAGAGTTGATGCGTGCACAGATCTTCAGGGCTGGGCCTAGCTTGATATTCATGGCACTCATGAGGTGGTCTTCCTTCAGCAGAAGAAGGGCCTGTCCATCAATCTCTTGTGCTCTGAACTCATCTGCGATATCCTGGCAGCCTGGAACGTGATCAAGGGAAGGGGTCAGAAGTGATTCGCTACAATCAAACATTACTCCTAACAGTTGACAGCCATGCTCTCACTGGGTCTGAGTCTCTGAAATACAGGCTGAGAGACAAATGAAGTTGATGTATGGCAGTCTTGGGTTCACTCCTGAAGAAGAAAATATTTGCTGGAATTCTGAAATTAAGAATTCAAAATCCAAGTAAAGGAATTTACGTGGAATTCTTGTTCTAAAAATAATATTATAGAACTAATTAATTAGTAATAGGTACAACATACAGAGTGATCAGTCTAGAGATAACATTTCCTTCATGAAAAGGATTGTGTTGTCATCCCAAAGCATGTTACAACATATAGCAGGTATGGATTAACTAGTTACAATGCCTAACTTAGAAGCAAGGATGGCAAGACTACGTCTCACATACTTTGGACGTGTTATCAGAAGGATCAGTCCCTGGAAAAGGACATAATGCTTGGTAAAGTAGAGGGTCAGCAAAAAAGAGGAAGACCCTCAACAAGATGGACTGAAACAGTGGCTGCAAGAATGGGCTAAAACATAACAATTGTGAGGACGGTGCAGGACCGAGCAGTGTTTTGTTTTTTTGTACCCACAGGGTCGCAATGAGTCAGAACCAGCTCGACAGCACCTAACAACAACAATGCTAACTTATGTCTGTATAATATACCCTTTACATATAAGTACACAGGAATAAAATACAGTAAAACTTGCAAAAGCCAGTGCCTGTGTAAGGCAGAAACCTGTCAAAGAAGGAAAACTCAAATATTTTCCACTAAACGAGCGACAGAAAAGTGGCAAGACTGCACCCTGTCAAAGACGGAAAACATGCAAGACCCAGAAAAACAAGGCAGTCCCAGCGAGTTCCGGCTCTCACAGGTTTTACTGTATAATGTTCTGCCATTAAATAACAATCTAGAAATATTTTCTCAAGTACCAGAGTACCACCTTCATTACCATTTGTACCATGTTCTAATTTACAACCTTCAAGTGTCAAGCACATCTACATTTTTATTGTTCACTCAGGATAAAACAAATCCATCAAGATTGTAGTATCTATCTATTTCAACGCTGCTGAAATATGTAACACTGCTCGACTTGCGAGTTTAACTTACAATCTTAATACTATTCAGGGTCACTGTCAGGAAATGAACTCATCTTAATTTCTGATAAGAAAATACTAATTCTCTTTGAAATTATAAGCTTGCTGGCTAATAATTTTGTAGGTGCCAAACAACCAGTATTTCAGCCCTCAGTCTAAACCAGGTGCTTTACCAGCTAACACTGCTCCAGCACCCACTAGAACCTCAAATGTTTTTACTGTCAGCCAAATTTTGCATGTCCAGGTTACTCAATAAACTTCCCCATTAAGGTTAAAGAAACCAGTTGGGAAGGCAATGAATTAAGGAGCCAACAGTGGAGAGAATGCAAATGTAAAGACAGCAAAATTATAATAAAAAGTAACAGCTTAAAGTCTTTCTATTTTACTCAAGTCAGCATTCTAAGGGAAAAACAAAAAGATAATGAAAAATGGAAATGGTTACATTACACCTTTGGATACTACAACTTTGCTAGACTGGTTATCCTTTCTGTTGCGAATTATCATCCTCTTATGCACCAAGCACAAAACACTATAATTGCTAAAGACATACATTTTTTAATGAATGGAGGACTGATTTAATCAACAAATGAATAACAATGAGCAAAAATAGAATCTGCTACAGAAGAGCTATCTCCAAGAGTAATACCAACGTTTTTTCCTGTGTTCAACTGAGGGGCCGTCTTTTCTCTTGGTTGTTTTCCCATCCCTTCTGTTGGTTCTATCTGTCCTGTTTCCCATATAGCAGCCAGCTTTTTCATTTCTCTATTTTAATAATTTCTCAGGCTTTTAAAAATTGGTATCTCAGTATTCTCTACAAAATTTTTATGGTTTTGCCCATTTACCATAGAAAACTATATAGTTAAGATGGGATTACTCACCATAGAAAAGCCCCTTTTCTTTTCCCAGAGGTAGCTCTCAACAAAACTGGGCAGACAAAACTGACTAATCTTGCATCTAGTTGTGACTTCATCCTTCTTTTTATGAAAGAACTAATATTCTTCTCTCTTCAGTCTTACTTACAAGAACACAGGAAAGAAGAGAAGAGAGAGAAAGATAGAGTAGGACTTACTTAGATTCAGAAAACAGGAGCAATGAGAAGTAATAAGCATCATAAGAGCTACATTTGGGAATAGAAACAAGGAATCCTCCATGAGGAAAATATATAGCATGCTCTTGCTCCATTGTATTTTGAGATCCCTTTTCAAAATGTGTTTTTGTAGGTGGACAGTAAATGTATTAGCAAAATAATAAAGAACAAAAAGCTTTTTAGAAAACATCATCAAATAAGAATACATTATCATTGAAATTTTAGACAACTTTCTTAAGCCAACCACAGAAAAGGGTAGTTACATTAGTATAAAAATGAGAAAATAGTTACTTTAAAAAAAAAAATGTTTCCAGAAACTCATTAGAAAAAAATGAATTAAGAAAAAATTTTAGGTGCTCACGGCATACTGAGCTAATGTTCTGTGAGTCTGACATTAGCATCTAGTTCTGCAAAATGGTTGTAGCCCTAGGGACCCGTACAAAGCAAAACCAACGGAAGCAGCCATTCAGCTCAGCTGGCTTTGCCTCAACAGCAACAAGTGCAGTGCAGCTTTCAACATGGCCACGGACATGGGTCCCAAATGAACCTTGCAAGTGTCCAGAGTCACTTCTCCAGCTAAATAAAACAAACCCCAGATAAAAACTGACCTACCACACAAAAACTGACTGAAAATTGGTAGAAGGTATCACCTGCCCCTCAGTACTACAGAATAAAGGAAATCCCAATGTCAGTATTATGGAAACCAGTAAATAGTCATATTTTTTAGACAATTCTTATTTAGTATGCCTACAAAGAAACCAAATCTGCAGACTCACAGATCAATAAATACAGAATAAACTGACCCCTGCAAATGGTAGTTCACTGTATTAAAAAAGTTAAAGAAGATAACCTGTAATTAACTGAAAAGAAAGAACTGTGCCTATATAGATCCTTTTAATGCATAAAAAATTAGAAGAAAATAATAATTCTGATAACAGCTCTGAGATTTGGGCATGTTACATATAAGCTCTAACATGGTCCCAATAGGATGGTTCAAAAGATGGCGCTATACAAAGAGAGGAGAAAACAGGAGGAGTAAATAGAAGTGCCCTGCTCAAAGAGGGAAGCCTATCTCCAACTGGAAAGAAACAAAATACAAAAGAGATTACAAAATTTACAAACAGCCTGAATGGGCTGAAAGAGGCCTAAAAGGAACTTAAGTTACAAAGGCCAGAGAGCATAAAGAAATGAAGATAAAGTTTATTTCCTGGTATAAGATTTACTTAAGCTACAGGAAATATTCAGAGAAAACCTTTGAGAAAGAAGATATAACTGATCCCAAAAATAAGCTTATTATTTGGTCTGACAAAGCAGTTTGTAAATACTCCCATTTAATTAGTAAAAGAAAAGCAGAGTTATGTTCAGCAAACTGTTAAACAGTACAAATCAATTCTAAATTATAAAGCAGACTCCTTTTAATGAACCCAATCTTCTCTAAATAACTGGCAACAAAATTAAGTGTCTAGAGGAACTCAATAGAACAAGTAACTCAAGTTATAAACGATAATAAAAAAAAAATTTTTTTTAACTCGAAGCAAGAATGAGATAAACGAGTTTGCCTGTGTTCTAATAAAGCAGCCAACAAACAGAAGCCTCACAGCAACTGGATGCTGGGGAAATTAGAAAACTAGCCCTAAAAAAGCCAAGTGCTAGAAGAATCAGCAATATCTATTATCTGTTAATTACTTCAGCAACTACCTTCTTCAGGATATAAATCAACTCCCCCAATCCCAAAAAAGGATGGGAAATATTTTCCCCAAAATGAGAAATCAGGTTCACAAAAAGATAACGTGTGCCCCATTTGGAAGACTGAGACTGTCTCTTAAAATGCCAGAATCAAATCCCAGCCACAGGTGATTAATGGTATAGATTCCATTGTTAATTCTCAAGATACCTGTACTGGTCTAAAAACCAAAATTTGTTTCAATAAATATTAAAACCACAACCAGTGAAGACTCTCTATTCTCTAATACATCAGTTTTAATTCAGATTCTAAACCCACATGGTTGACAATTATTTAGACCCTAAATCTTTTCTGGCACGTGCTTAAAAATGTCTTCCCATGAAGCATACATCCCTTTCAAACAAATTCATCTTTCTTTAAAAGTGACAATATCTTGTAAAAAAAAAAAAAAAACAAAAAACCTATTTAGCACTTTTAAAACAAGCTATTGATAAAATAACAAGAGTTCTGTATATAAGGTAAAATGGCTGACATTTTTTTAAGGCAGTGGTATTTCTGAATGTATTTTCTTCACTAGCACTGTGCACCAGCTATACGTTTGCTTCTGAGACCTTGGTCATCTTCATAGAAAGATTAACTTTAGAAAGTCTGGTAAACAAGTTCCAATGAGATGAATTCTTCTGAAAAACTTGTCTCAAGAGAAACGGTATGATTCACAATAAAACAAAAAGGGAACAAATTTTAAAAAAAAACTCCGTTTCCCATATTTGTAAGGTCAAAATGACTGGTAAGATATGTTAATTTAAAAATATATATATTAATACACAGAACTGGTGTGGGTCTCATCATGAACAAAGGTACAGCTGTCTTTGGTAGCCAGCCCCTTGGAAAAAGTGACTATGAAAGACTACATTGCATTAAAGAAAAAAATAAAGAACATAAAGACCTAAGTTGATGGAATGACTATCAAAATGAGAATTAAGAGCAGGAAAACATAAATAAGAAAGTTACTCTCAATACTGGAACAGAATATCATAACTGAATTTCAGCTACCTACTTAAAAAATAAAATTCCAGAAGTGCTCTTGATGTTTATTTATTGCAAGGAATCAAAGAATGCAGCTCCCTTAAAAAGAATCAGCTTGATTGTTTAAAAAGGAACCAAAATTTTATATTCTAAAAGGTCTTGATTAACTTTCAAAAATGTTAAAAAAAAAAAAAAGTCTTATTTCATTTAAAAAAGGTTAAATTAGGAAACAAGGAGGAAATAGAATAGAAAAATAGAAGAGCAGAAGGAAAGAAGTGTCTGATCCAATCTCTCTACTGACCTCTCGAGAGAAATCAGACTGAAGAGAAGAGAGCACCTTTAATATCTTCACGGCTGAGGTGTCACAGCAGAAGCAGGACTAGTCAGTTTTTTATCGACTTGTGGGGTATGAGAAAATACCCAGTCGTGCTGAGGGAATAAGCAAGAGGAAACAGATCACATTTCAATAGCAAATGCCATTTAATTAATATATATACACAGTACTTCTCACTTCTCTAGCCTTTTGTGCAATAGGTGTGGATGGATCTAACATCACTGCTGTGTGTGAATGCACAAGGAACATACTAAGGCTAAGGTGGTGAACTACATACCAGGCAGAGAATGGATGAAGGCCCAGACATCGTCAACAGTCCATACTGATGGCTCTGTTTGTGCAACTGGCAGCAAGTCATTGTTCTCAGGCATTTTCCTAATTCTCCCATCTCGGAGCTCACGTTCTCTTTCTCGCTCACTCTGCCTGCGCAAACGAGTTGTCATAGCAGATGGCACAGAATCTTCATGAGAAGCCAAGTCTTCTTCTGCAGATGGATAAGTAATTGGAAGCTGGAAAATGTAGTACAAGTAAAATACAGCATTGCACTTTCCTTGCATTTCTGAAAAGGGTACTTGTACAGTGAAGCAAGGTTTCTACAGACCTGCCTAAGGATATGTTCTCTTGCTGCCCCATCAGGGCCACTTGGACGACGGCCACGATGCCCAAGACTTTGATTATCAGGCTTACGATTCCAACGACTAAGTGCAAATTTTTTAGAACAGCTAACATTGTACCTAAGAAATTCAAGTAAGAAAAAATATTAAATGATACATGGGACATGCCATTTAGTATTCAATTACAACTTCCAAGTACAACTGTGAATCAGTTAAGTGCCATATACTTTGCTGCGGACTACAGTACCTCATAAAGTAAACAATAATGTTCAATGATTTACTTACGCTAAAGGTCAAATCATGGTCCCTGTGTATGTTATATAGCCCAACTTAATACTGACCACCTATAACAAGGTATTGATATTTTCTCCTGATAACAGCATGGTAGTGGGACTTTTATGCAAAACACAGACGATACCATTTTTGATAGCAGCAAAATAATTCAAGGTTCCAGAAGAAACAGAAGTTATATATTAACTATATGTTTATTCAAACTGATATTTTCCTAAGTAATCATATCTGAAGAGATTAATAAAAATAGGTAGGGTAGGAAGAAGGAGGAAATCTCAAACAGCTAGTAAAATATTTTTCAAGTATTACTGAAATCAAAGTGAAAATAGTTAGATTTCAAAGTTACCCAAGGAATTCATTGTTGCCGATATTCAGAAGTACATAATTCTTTTAAAATTAGCTGAAAGATTATTTTTCTTTTATCAAAGTAGATTGCCTACTGGTTTTGAACATAGAATTTTATAAGGCATAATGAAAACTTAAAAGGGTTCTATGCCATTTATTGGGCTCCAAAGCCCTAGAATGGGTGCTGGAAAACTTTTTCTGTAAAGGGCCAGATTAGTCAATACTTTAGGCTTTGTGGGTCACACAGCCTCTGTCCTCAATTCTGTCCCCAACTATTCAACTCCATTATTGTTGTGCAAGAGCAGCCAAGGACAATATGTAAGCAAATGAGTGTGGCTGTGTTCCAACGAAACTTTACTTATGGACATTGAAATTTGAACATGATTTTCACATGTCATGAAATATTATTCTTTTGATATTTTCCAAAAATTTAAAAACCATCCTTAGCTTGTGGGCCATATAAAAGCAGGTGGCGGGAAGGATTTGGCCAACACCTTCCCTGGAAAGAAGAAGAGAAAGCTATGAAAAGACTGAGAAAAATACCTGCAGTTCTTTTTTTTTTTTCCAACACATAAAACTGTAATTGTAATTTCATACTTTTAAAACTCTTTTGCTCTAAGAAGATTTTGCAAGAAAACAATAAAAATAAATTCCAGTTAACTTTGCTATTGATAACTATCTACAACTAGTATGTAGATACCAAAATAAGTTTTCCCCATCTATGATTTATGAAAATATCAGGAAGGAGAAGAAAAAAGTACTATGAGAATGAACAGGCTATTTTTCCCTGGGAAAAAAAAAAGGCACCTGCTGGACACTTCATTTTACCCTAAAATAAGCTCCTGCTGTGTTCATTAAGTTCACCTGTGGGCTCAACTCTGTAGGTTTCTGATTTCGTTTAGCTCAACTGACAAAGCTTCTTTCCCCACAGAAAATGGACAGAGAAAAGGAAATTAACTATATACTTGATATTCAGTTCCTAAACATTTAGATCTCCAAATATTTAGGCAGACATGTAAACAGCAGCATTCCTCTCTGCCCTGATTTATCCTCTCCTCTTTGTTCTCTCGTCCATATTCTGCTATGATGGAGCCCCAAATCCGCTAAAGAAGCTTACCTTCTTTAGAGTTAAATAAGGATTCTTCATTTCTTACTGTGCTCTCATCAGAATCACCCCACTGTCCATAATTCTACCAACAGTCTCTTCAAGGACATCTAGGCTCTTACTATTAAGCACATCAAAATTCCTCCAAAATCACTTCCACACTTTAGGTATTTGTTAGAACAGCACCCCACTCCTGGTACCAAATTCTGTCTCAGTTACCTAGTGCTGCCGCAACAAAAAATACCACAAGTGGGTGACTATAGAACAGGATTAAATGTTAAATGTCCTGAAATATTTCTAAACAGTTAAGTATCTAAATATTTTCAAATATACTCCTTTTCCCAAGTTTTCAGAGTTTTTAATGACTTAGAATCAGAGAGCCACTGTTGTTTCCTGTGGTATATGTAAACTACAAAAATACCAAGTTAAAGCAAGAGTTACATAATTTGATTACAGGACTATCAACAACATGAAAGACTATTTGAGTAATAGTTTGACAACTGAGAAACCAATAAACCTATTTTTGGAGGAAAATACTTCTATTACTTAAGTTTTTCTAAGTATATTTTAGTACATTCATCCAAATAAAATGTTCAAGCCAGAAATTCCCCAGATATATACAATCAAGATCTTAAATTCTTTGAGGGAATAATCACTTTTCTGAACACAGAACAAATTTCAAAATAATGAGTCTGTGTGTACACTTCAATTTTAGTGGTAAATACCTATACAGTTAGGACTTACAATCAATATCAAAGTAGGATTTTTTTTAATGTAAACTAAATTTGGGAATTATAAAATTAAAAGATCAAGCATTTCTTTTGTTATTCATACTATTAATCTATAATTTTACCAGTTGCTGCTGAGTAAATTCAGACTCATGGCAACCCCATGTGTGTCAGAGTAGAACTGTGTTCCACAATGTTTTCAATGGCTGATTTTTCAGAAGTAGATCACCAGGCCCTTCTCTTCTAAGGCACCTCTGAGTAGATTAGGTTAACGGCCAAGTGTGTTAACCATTTGCAGCACCCAGGGGCTCCTAATTATCTGTAATAATTACTACTGAAAATATTGATTTAAAAAAGACAGATTATTTTGCTGTCTGATAATGTGGCAATGTGGGGGAATTTATTGCTATAGTTGTCCCACTTAAAAACCTATAATAAGTAGATACATAAGACTAAACGGGCAGCTTCTGTCCAGAGATGAGATGAGAGGGCAGAGAGGGTCGGGAGCTGGTTGAATGGACATGCGAAATCAGGGGTGGAAAGGAAGAATGTGCTGTCACAGTATAGGGAGAGCAATTAGGGTCTCATAACAATGTATGTATAAATTTTTGTATGAGAGGCTAACTTGAATTGTAAACTTTCACTTAAAGTACAATAAAAGAAAAATAAAAAACCTGTAATAGGATATAATTCAAACAAATAAGATACGGTTGTAACAAATGAAAACACTTTAAAACAAACTAAATCCAGTGAATTATGCCCTCCAAAAAGTTATGTTGAAGTTCTAACTCCTGTACCTGTAAATATGACCCTGCACAGAAACAGGGTTTTTGTTATGTTAATGAAGTCATAACAGAGTAAAGTGGGTTCTAAACCTAATCCCTTCTGAGTGATGTCTTATAAAAAGAGCAGAACAGACACAGACACACAGGAGAAGATAGGTGTCATGGGAAGATACATCTACAAGCAGCCAAGCAATGTTGAGAAACGCCCAGGGCTACAGAAGCAGAAAGGGACAACGATCTTCTCCTAGAGCCTACAGAAAGAAAGAGAGCCTACCCCTGACAACACCCTGAAATTGGACTCCTAGCCTCCAAAACTAGTGTGAGACACAAAATTCCTGTTCTTTAAAGCAACCCACTAATGACAGTATTTGTCACAGCAGAAAAAAAAACCAAACCTGCTGCTGTCAAGTTGATTCCGACTCATAGCAACCCTATGGGACAGAGTAGAACTGCTCCATAGGGTTTCCAAGGCTGTAAATTTTTATGGAAGCAGACTGCCACACCTTTCTCCCACAGAGTGGCTGGTGGGTTCGAACCACCAACCTTCTGGTTAGCAGCTGAGTGCTTTAACCACTGTGCTACCAGGGCTCCCTATTTGTTACAGGAGCACTAGGTAACTAAGATATCCAAGTATTTAAATGTTGATAAAACAATCAGTTGATAAAACAAATACTGTTTAGATACCTTAAGGTCTAATATTCTATAACATCTGATCATTTCATAGGAGGGATACTCCTAAACATATTCTGATTACCAAAAGATTTCTACTTCAATATTAGATTATACTGTAAAACTCATTGTAAATGTTATGAGCATATAATTTTCACAGACCAAAATTTAAAAAACTAAATACCAAAGTAGCACTAGGTGATGTCTATTTCATATTATTACTGCATGTTATGATAACACCTATGTTTTGCTATTAGTAGACTATATAAGGGTGTTTTGGTCTCACTGCAGCGGTTGTTGGTTTGTGCTTTATGAAATTCAAGAGAACAGAAATACCTTTTGGCACAAGACATAGTGCAGAATCGTTTTGACCGCAGAAATTCATTAGCATATCCCATCTTCCCACAGAATTCACACTTGAGCAACTCACTGTCCATTTCTTCTAATGTCTCTAAAAAAAGGAAACAAAGGGAAAATTTCCAAAAATTTAATTGCAGCAACTCACCTTCTTTTAACCGCTACTTTGATTAGCTACTCCTGGTTCAAACCGAGGGTTCTTTAACTTTTCAATTCATAGCCACCTTGGCAAGGTGAAAGCCTCCATTAAACAACCACCTCCACCAATTCCCTCCTGCTTCTGCATATAAATTATATGGTGTTTTTTTCTATATAAATATTACAGTTTTAACAGTTCATTTTGCTAAGATTCCACCATGTCTAAAATGTGCAAATAACTTAATTAAGCTCCATAAGAGGAATGAAGATGAGTAAGACATAGTCACTACAGTCCAGAAGGAACACTTTCAAACAGCAGTGTGTGGGATCTGAATTTAGGCACAGTGTGGTATGGGAATATATGGCAGCGAACACTGAACTTTAAATGGAGAGAATAAGGATGACTTCAAAGAGTGGTGAAATTCTGATAAGTCTGACTTTAGAGGCACATATAAAATTAACACTTTCCGTTATGTTCCATGGAATATATGTTGTTAGGTGCCATCAAGTCGGTCCCAACTCATAGCAACTCTATGTACAATAGAACAAAACACTGGAATATATGAAGATGTATAATTATAAAACAGTCCCTTTTAGTTATATCACATTAAAACAAAAATAATTTAAACTAATCTTAAAAATCACTAGTAGTTTTATAATTTCTAATCTCTGGTGCTTTTTTCAGGGTGTTCCCTATTAAGTTAGAATCTCCTTCCTCCACACCTACATCCATTACTTTCTTCAGGTTATAGCATAGGACCCAAGGAAACTTCCTACCTAAATCCTCAAGTACTAAGCAGTAGTCACCTATAAGCAAGCAACTTAATCTTCTTGACCAGTTTTCTCATCCACAGAAAGGTTTATAATACGTTCCCAAGAGTTGCAGTGAAGACTGAATGAGTGTCCAACAGGTAGTAGACATAAAAAATGACCGTTTCGTTGCCTATTTTCCACATAGAACTTAACAGAGTATGAAGAACTGCAATAAGTGCTCAAGAAATACTTCAATGAAAACTGTTAAATTTTTTAATCTGTTTTCTCACTTTCTTGCATCATCATGATTCCTACGCCAAGTCATATAAAATATGCAACAAAAGCACTCCACTAACAAAAGCTTAGCTGTGAGCACATATGCTTTTTCTATATTATCCATTTAACAAAGGCTATGAAATGCAGGCATGGATGAAAGTACTCTTTAAGTTCAGGCACTCGTATTTCCCAGTTCTACTGGAGAAGCAGATGAAAAAGTGCTAAGTCAAATGAAGGTAGCATGAACTACTAAAAATTCTGTGAAACAATATTTGAAGTTCCAAGGGACATCCAAATACATTATCATGACTGATCATGATAATCATGAGCTAACAAGTGATCATTTGAAGGAAATTCTCAAGAATACCTCCATAAGCAAACTTAATAGCAATGAGGAAAAGACAGCCTTAAACAAGTTAAATTAAAATGGTCCCTTCCCATGATCTTGAGATGGCTTTTACACAGCTATGACCCAGTCAGAACATCTGCCAACACATTCTTGGAACCTGAGGTCATAACTTCCAGGAGTATAGTTTTTACTTCGTCATGTCTATAACCTTGAAAAGCCTAAACCTGAGACAGAACCTGTCACTCAACCACCACTGCCACCAATCCAGCCCTGAAGGGTCTACTCCTCAAGCTGCTCCATGTCCAGGCTATACTGAACGTTTTGTTACAAAAGTGTTTATTAGTTAACAGAACAAGGTGCAACACCTCATAATAGGTTACAATGACTCATGAAGGAAAAATGTTTTTGCTGGTAAAAATAGAACATCAGTTTTATTTCTTATAAAGAAAACAGACACTAACAGATTTAAAAAATCCCTGTCCTAATGTTTGCTCAGATTTTTAACAAATCTGATGTTATTAAAGCTGTTTTTTCACATTTGTGAATCAAAAAATTATAGAGCTAAATGAGTTAAAACAAAAACAAGAAAAAACAAACCTGGTGAATTAGCTACTGAAAATGAGGACTTCTATGGCAGAGACACCTGGTCATTCTCCAACACCTACTTTCCACTCCCAAAGTAACCTAGCTAGGTACATGGTCACAAAGAATAAAAACCAAAGATTCTGTACTAGGTGCGGCCATTTCTGAATAATGGGATGTGAATGGAAATGCCTGCAAATTCCAGGTGGTGCCCTTTTGTCCATCTCATTGTTTAGAATGTAATTAGGAAGATCAGCTATTGTGGAAATGCGGGCAACATTCTAGGGATGGCAGAGCCATATAATCCCTGGGTCCTCAACACCGTGGAGCTGCTGCCTGAGCCCTGCGCTACTTACCCTTGGGTCATATCAGAGAAAACTAAACTTCTATCTTATTTAATCAAATACTATTCTAGGTCTCTATTAAGGGTGGCCAAACCTATATCGTAACTAATACAAGTCCCCAACTTTTTTATAAAAAGGAGTTACTTTCTAATTTCTCTGAAGACCTGAGATCACATGAGGAGAGAGGGAGAGACAAAGAGATGGAAACCATAATCAGGTAAGACACTAAGATATTTTGGTAAATCACATTCTATCGGTTGGAGATTCTGGTTATAGAACAAACCAAGTAGAACCTTAGTTTATCCTTTAAAAAGGCAGTTTATTACTTTCTAACCCTGAATTTTTTTATACTGAATTAGATTGTATATACTACTAAAACCAAAGCCACTGAATAGGTGACATCACTATTTCACACCACTTCCCACAGACACCGAAGTACATGGTAACAGACACTGGAATTATAAAATTACCTTGAGAAATTCAATTATGAAGTATTTAAAATTTTAGCTCACTTTATGTAACTATGTCTCCAGTATGAAATACATTAATCATCTTTAAATCTTCCTTTTCCTTCCTCGTCCCACCATGACTACAGGTGCGAACTACATGTCTAAACCTTCTACAGTCATCCTACAGATGACTAAATTTTTCAAAAACATGTTTTTGCTCATGTGACCTGCCTACAAACCAGTAACCATCATTTGACGAGATAACTCCTAACTCCTTAGTCTGATATCCAGCATACTCTATAATCTGACTGCCAGTTTTACTTCCCACTACTTCTCTAACCCAACTCTCTTCTGTTCACTGCCTCCGGAAGTCACCTGGCACTTAGACATTCTTTGTGCACTTATTCACCGTGTTCTAAACTGAAATGTTCTTCCTGTTTGTTATCTTAAATCTATGCTTTATTAGCCAAGACCCAGGTCAAATTCCATCTCTATAGGAAACTCATCAAACTAGAAATAGTCTCAGCCAATTTTAAAGTCCTAAGTTCTTACTGTCTTTATAATTCATGTTCCTTAGTTATCTTTTTATTATGGAGATTCTATAGTTCCAAACTAAATTAAAAGCTCCTTGAGGGAGAGGGGTTGTATATTACTTCTACATATAGTTTTCAGGCTGTAGTGGAATCTAGTATGCTATACATGTCTATTATATCATAAACCATGAGTATCATAAAACATGCTGTGAAGCTTCCTGAAAAGTCTTCCGTGTTCTTCCAATGTGTGAACACAAGGGGGCATACTATAAACACTTTTAACCTAGACTTTCATTTACACACGTATTGTAGATAGAAGTAAGAAAAACGAATCCCTGCACGTTTATCTTGGCTCTTTTCATTTCAAATAAAAATTTTTTCTCAGATAAAGTAGTATTTGTAACTAAAAGCAAGCATTCCGGGATTAAATGGAATTAAATTCATAATAACAAAAAGCAAAATGTAGACCATGTTTGAATTCTAATAGGAACAAAATAACTATAAAGGGACATTTTTTTTTTAAAAAACAGCTGGAGAAATCTGACTATGGAATTTTGATTAATATTGTTATGTGTGACATGGCATTGTAGTCATATAAGAAAATATACTTATTTTTTAGAGATGCACACTGACGTATATAGTGATGAAATAAAATAAGGACTATATCTTTCTTAAAATACTAGAGAGAGAGGTATTGATGGAAAGAAGGCAGGCAGGTGGGCGAAAGGGATGGATGAAGCAAGCATAGCAAAATAATGTTGAAATTCGGTGATAATGTTGAGTCTGGGTGATTGCGGATTCATTATATCATTCTAATTGTATCCATGTTTGAAAATTCTCATGGTTAACATTCTTTTAAATAAAAAATAAGAAATGGAACTCAGTATAAGTTAGCAGTAAGAATCAAATTTTACACTTCTATTATACTCTTTGGAGCCCTGGTGGCTCTGTCCTACTCTGTCGCAATGAGTTGGAATCGACTTGATGGCAACAGGTTTGGTTTTTGGGTTTTTATTGTACTCTTTGCTATTCAGAGTCCAGGTGGCACAGTGGTTAAGTGATACGGCAGCTAACCAAAAAGTCAGCAGTTCAAATCCACCAGCTGCTCCTTGGAAACCCCGTGGGGCAGTTCTATTCTGTCCTCTAGGGTTGCTATGGGTCGGAATCAACTTGATGGCAACAGGTCTTTGCTATTCAAATAAGGAATAAAATAGTAATGAAAACACTGCAACTGTTTATAAAGTACCAACAATGATAGAAGTGCCCTCCTTTTAAGAGTTAGGAAAACTGTGACCAAGACAATAAATATCTACTTTGCTTATCAAAAGGTTATTTTGCTTAATTTAGTAAAGTACAGGCACATAACATATGCTCAATAAATACTTGCCAAATAAATTCATTTTAGATAAAATATACTAATATATTGAGGATAATTACTTAGATACAGGTGTTCACTAATTCACTACTGTAGAACCCTGTCTATACTAAATGCTATTTAAAAAAAACACCATTGCTATCAAGTCAATTCCGACTCATAGTGACCGTACAGGAAAGAGTCAAACAATCCTACAGGGTTTCCAAGGCTGTAATCTTTATGGAATTAGACTGACACATCTTTCTCCTGCAGAGTGGCTGGTGGGTTGGAAGTGCTGACCTTTTGGTTAGCAACCAAGCACTTAACCACTGTGCCACCAGGGCTCCCTCTAAATGCTATCAGTTTACTTAAATTGAACTATATCAATTACAGGATCATGAATAGAGTCAGTCAGGGACAGTCTCACAAAGATGTTCCTACAGAACAGAGCTAGTTTTTTTTTAATCAGAAATTCAGAATCTCACTCAAAAAACTACTAAAAGCATTTGCTGATTTTAATAGCAAACTCCAGGTATAAAGTATATCACTTCATGTTTGTTTTTCTGCTTAATTGTGTATACTACTCTGACTGCTATGGAATATTCACTATTAGAATAAAGTCTATAAAAAAGGATTCTTCTTTATAATTTTAAGGAGATCTGGTGATGTTTTTCTCTTTGAACAAATTTAATCACCTCCTGATTGAAGAGTGTATTCCTAATACAATTGTAATATTCACCTGATATCAAACATCAGAATGTGGAAGTCTAAAAACCAAACAACCCAGAAGCTCTGAATTTTTAAACAAACTTAGTGAAATATTCATTTGTTACTTAAGTCTGCTCTTAAAAAAAAATAAAATTGGTTACTTTGATCCTAAAATTTTGAATTACTTCCCCTCACATGTAATGGAACTTTTCCCACCCATACTCTTTCAAAGTCAAACTGACATCATGAAAATTAACACCTATCTTGCTATTTTAGGTATTTGGCCATTGAGAGCCTGTTTAGCTTTCCCATTATTTTGGTCAAATAATGTAACATGACTAAAACAGTAAATACTTTCAAGGGAAAATCTCTGTAGGATAAAAATCCAAGTCCTTTCTCAAGCAGTAAAAGTCAACGTTAATTTAAAGGGCCTCTTAAGTGAAATCCACACACCTTCAGCAATCATGTCTTCCATCTCCGTGTCAGATGAATTATCCACGTGCTTTGTATTGTTGTGCAGTTCGGGCTGAACACACACAGAACTTATCACCTGATTATCCAAAAGAGGCCTTTTTTTCATGGGCTGCTCTATTAGCAAAGATGAACGACTCACCTTTAAAAGGAAGAGAGGATAAAATAAAGTTTAAAAAGATATTCCGCAATAACTTGTTTAAAAAACCTCTTGAAATGAATGGTATCTGTGATAATCTACTTGTTCAGTTAGTCAGATCCATTCACTAAGTGCTTTATTCCCTGGGGAAAGGTTATGCAACCCGGACAGAAATGCTTTCTTTCAAGTCACCAGCAGTGTGGCTGCTTCAAAGTCTCACTCAGGTAGGACCTAGGGTTCTAGTACAAGCAAGTAGTTAAAAAATAGTCTTAAAAATTTAGCAGTGATCAAAATAAATACTAATCATCGAGTTATCCTGCATTATGAATACTTCAGTAGCTAAGCCTAATACTGAAAAACAAAGGCACAACTATCAGCATATTGAGGAGGAGTTTTTTTTTTAACTTTTTAAAATACTATCCAATTAAGCAGTTCCTCTCTTAAGGAACTGCCTGACTAATTATTTTCCTTCAAAAACTTTAATTTTTTTCCATATGAGTGCAAAACAAATAAAAGACCAGGAATAAATCTTTAATTAGCCAGTACTGTCAATTAATTGATTTGTTTTCTGCAAACAACTTTTAAGATTTATTTTTCATGCATAAAGCTTTTTATTTGTAAGGTAATTTCCTCAGGACAGAGCCTCTAGAAAGGAATTACTAGTTTAAAAGACTTTTAAATTAACTAGAAAAGTTTTGCTTTCTCCAACAGAAGAATAACTATTTATTTTATAGGTAAAGGAATTAATGTTCAAACTGTTGGGGGACTTTACAAAAGAGGAATCAGGAGTAGAAATCAAGTCTCCTGACTCCTAATTCAGCAATCTAATCCACTATAATCACACAAAGAAATGGAAAAATCTTCAAAGATGAATATTAAAATCAAAAACAAAAAATATTCGTTATGTTTAATATACCTGGTTAAGTCATGAATGCAACTTTAGAAATATTTTCAGCAAAAACAAAAATATTTACTGATTTGCTAGCGAGCCCTCAGCTAATTCAGAAAAACAGGATGACTAGAACATCTGAGTCTGTAAGAATGCTGGCTAAAAGTCTCTAATATCTGCTACATACAAGAAAAAACAGCTAATTGGAAATTTCTACATTTAACCTTAGCAAATAAATCACCACAAACTTCTAAATTTTGTTCACTTTTGTTAATATATTTAATATATCTCAAATAGAATTTATGGACGTTATTGCTCAAAAAAAATAATCCTGTTAACGGCATACACTTCAAGTGAGTAAATAAATTTAAATAATCTTTCTAGAAAATAATTTAGCAATATATATCAAGAGTTTTCTGAATATATATGGAATGTGATCCTATAATTCTACTTCTAGGAATTTATGCTAATTAAATTATTAAAAATGTGGACAATTACTTATATACAAACACATTCATTTCAGTACTGTTTGAACAGTGAAAAAATGGAAACCTAAATATCCAAAAATAATGGAAGGATTACATAAAATATGGTTGTCCATAAAGTAGAATATTATGTAATCTTTCAAAATGCTTCAAAGTACTGTTAATGATATGGGAAAATAAATGCTAATGATATACTAACAAGCAGTATACACACACACACACAGAGTGTACAAATATATACAGTACTAATATTGATCATATTATGTATATGTTATATATATATAAACACTGTGGGATTACTGGGGATTATTCTGCACATTTTTCAAATTTTCCATTTAGAACATGTATACTTTTGTGATCAGAAAAAAAAATTAAAATTGTCACCAGTGATATTGTTAATAATAGCTATTGCTAGTAAACGACAGGCACTACACAGAGCAATTTATGCACATTTAACTCTCACTACAACCCTAGGAGCAGAGTATCATGTCCACTTGCCAGATGAGCAAAATGAAGATCAGAGAGGTTAAAGGACTTCACAAAAGTTACAGTCAGTATGCGGCACAGCCAGGACTCCAACACTGAATTGTAGGGAGAAGACACTGTTCCTCTACTGACTGTATCAGAATTCTTACAGGAGATCCAAGTATAACACACATACAATAAACAACACAAAGGCAATTTACTGGGTAACCAACTGTCACAATGCCATACTTTCACTACCCATAAATCTGAAAATCGGGGGAATCAAAAGTCTTCAAAATAAATATCTTAGGTTTTTGTCTACTCTTTGATGTATTTTTAAGGAAAAATGTTCATCTCCAAATATTAGCATATAAATTACATGTTTAAAAAAAAAACAAACTCACTGACATCAAGTCAATTCCGACTCACAGCAACCCTACATGACTGAGCAGAACTGCCCCACAGGGTTTCCAAGGAGCAGCTGGTGGATTTGAACTGCCGACCTTTTTGATAGCAGCCATGCTCTTTAACAGCTATGCCACCAGGGCTCCAAACTATGTATAGCTAGTCTCAAATTATAACACTTTCAGTAGTAGATGTAGATTTTTTCAAATCTAACTGAAGGCTGAGATATAGGAACAATGAGAAAATCTATTTGCTAATTATAAACCATCAATAGGGTAACTTCTGATATATTCCCTTCCCAGATCATTAGGAAATTAATATTGCTTGCGCTCAAGTTAAAAGCTCACAAGGCATGATATTATATAAGCAACATCCTTTTTAAACTAATACACTTTAGGTGTCATTTCAACCCCCTTTAAAAAAAAAAAGAGAGAGAGAAAGAAGGTTTATTCAACTGGGGTAAACTTCCAACTGCCTCTTTCTAGAAATTATAAAATTGGTACCCCATGTCCTGAAACTCCTTTCACTTTTTTCCTTAGTTTATACAACTAAATCGCTAGTATAAAATTCTGCAAATATATTTGCAAATATACAAAGAGAAAGACTGCCTAGATACAAATCTGACAACTTTTTAAAAATAAAATTATGAGCTTTTTATTAGAGAATAGACTGACACTAAAAAAAAAAAGTCACATGAATAATAAATTAAAAAAAATACAAATTTGCTTTCTACTTACAGGAAATGGCTCCAATCCCTCCTGAATCACAAAGCCTTCAATAACATGGGTCAAGATCTGTGGTTTAACAATAGCCTGTGGAGGTCTGTTTTCTATATTGTGAATGCTACTGGGCACAGATGTACTACTATTCCTTGTAGCTGCAGCTGGAAGTAAAAGTGGAGGTGGAGGAACAGAAGCATGTGAAGGATCTGATGGAGATTTAATTACTGAAGCACTGACTGATGCCACAGCAGGCAATTCCACTTGTTCTGGAGGGAAAAAAAGTGATTTTTAAAAAAAATCTTTAGCATTTTGTCCAAGTAAATATGAAAGAGAATAAAAGAATAAAAATAGCAATAACAGGTAACATCTGGTGGTTTAAAACACTGTTCTAAGAACTTCATATTTATTGTCTCATTTAATCTGCACAATAACCTTATGAGGTATATACTACTGTTATCCCCACTTTACCAAAAAGGGAATAAATGCCCAAGGTTATCATTCAGACCTTAGTTAAAAAGAACTGTCCCAGAAGACATGAAAAAGTTTCAGAATGTCAACTTAAGAATAATTACTAAAATGGTTGCTTTTTTTTTTTTTTTACACTGACAGATATTAAATTCCCAATGTTTCTGTTTATATATTCCAAATGGTAGGGAGAGAAGTACTTTGAAAATATGCTTAAATAAAAAAGGATCATGAAATCCATAGAATAAGTAGAGATTTTAATGGGTTACACAGGTCATCACCCTTAATTTCAAGCATTTTAATAAGAGTCACACAAATGTTGTCAATTTGGTAGAATACCACAGCACCAGGCAAGTTCAAAACCCTGGGCTGGATCACTGTGATTCCTCCCCTTCAGACTTATTATGAAGACATAATAAGGTAGACCTAATAGTCCATGATGGAGACTTTACCTACTCAATCAGTGACAATGACCCCTTACTACCATACTAAAGTGGAAAGATAGAACCACCTGATATCCAGGAATATCAGTGCGTACAGATGTCTGATGGGGGAGGAGGGGAACTCGTGTAAAGATAATACTTACTGAGCACTTATTATATACCAGATACTGTATAAGGTGCCTTACATGTTGTAACTCATTCAATCCTCATAAGCAGCCTATGGGTAGATACTACTATCTCCACTTTATAGATGAAGAAACCAAGACACATAGAGATTAAATAAATTGCCTAAGGGCACACAGCTATTAACTCTTGGAGCTGGGATACTAACTCAGGCAGGATGGCTCTAGAGGGGATGCTCTTAATTGCTATGCTAACTTCTCTCCATTAGTATGAAATGGATTGATACCCCTTATCAAAGATGCTCAAAATACACCCAGTTAGGTAGAAGAAAAGAACAGGAATGCCTTGAAGATAAAAAAAAAAGTCAGCTAATGAAAGTGCAAGAGATCATCTGTGTAGTCTCAGAAACAGAAAAGCTAAGAGTTCAAATTTAGTAACTCTGATGTGATTAATATCATCATATGGCTTATAACAGCATTATTACAGCCAAAAATCAATCTAGTTAAAATAATCTGCTAAAATAAACATTTTTCCATTGGAGGGGAAAAAAAATAAATCTATAGGGAATTGAAACATCATCATTCCTTACAAATTTACACATACTTTGTTACACTGGAAATATAAAACAGTGTTAAGCACAATTTGGTTTGTTCAGAAAATACTGCTCTGTATATGTTCTAATTAATTTTTAGATCATACATACAAATTTGCCAATCTTATGTGGTCCAGGTTTTTTTAAAAACAGAGATATTACACGAACCAGGGGCTCATCTACCCTGAGATCAGAACTAGATGGTGCCCAGCAACCACTACGGACCACTCTGACCAGGGACAGAATAGTTGGTCCCTGACAGAATGGGAGAAAAATATAAAGCAAAACTCAGATTCTTAAAAAAGGCCATATTTCCAGGACTATCGTCCTGAGATACCCTTTAAACTTTGAACTGAAACTACTGACGGAGGTCACCTTTCACCTCAATAAGAGATTGGATCATGAAATAAATAATTTTACCCATAAGTACTGTGCTCCATTAAAAAAAAAAGAAAAATCCACTGCTGATGAGTCGATTCCAACTCATAGTGAACCTATATGACAGAGGAGAACTGCCCATAGGGTTTCCAAGCAGCGACTGTGGATTCAAACTGCTGACCTTTTGGTTAACAGCCATAGCTCGCCGTAGCTCTTAACCACTGTGCCACCAGGGCTCCTGATTTACGTGTCATGAAATATTATTCTTTTAATTTTTTTGTTCAACTATTTAAAAATCTAAAAAATCATCCTTTAGCTTGTAGGCAGAGGGAATGATGTACCCTGTGTGTTGTAGTTTACCAGCCCCTGATCTAGATAACATATTCATAAATTTTTAAAAATAACAAAAAACATGTGCTTTAGGACCTAGACATTAAGCTACACATTATATTAATGTTTTAGTAAAATGCCTAGAATTCACCATAACTTTCACATTGTGAGGAGAATACAGTAGATCAATTCATACATAGCATTGAAGTAGTAAATAAGAATTTGAATGCTTGAGCTCAAGATATCCAAGTCTCTCATAGGAATTAGTGAGAAGTTTATTTAGTGGCTACCAGGGGCAGGCAGGAGGGAGGGGAAAAGGGGGACTTACTGCTTAGGGGACACTGAGCTTCTATTAAGAGTGATGAAAAAATTTGGAAGCAATAATGGTGATGGCTGAATAACATGATACGTGTGAAGAATACTGAAACGCAAATGTTTTGTTATACATACATTTACTACACACAAAAAAAATTAGTGAGGCTTAACTTAAGTACTGTCTGGGAGAGAACATTAAAAAGCATTTACTGAGTGTGGATCACAAGCAATTGTAAGCAATGTCAGATATGACTCAGAATGCTCTGATTTTTAGACAGTATAATTTAAATCTTTTGCTAGAACTTCAATTTATTCCAATTCTGTAAGCTAGAAATAGCTTGACACGTGCATCTGAATGGACATATGAAACACATCTGTACAACTCACTAAAATTAGAAGACTAAAATGATAAGCTGTTTTTAATTTGGATGGTATTTAACAATTTATAGAAACTCTGATGGCACAGTGGTTAAAGCGCTAAGCTGCTAACCAAAAGGTCAGTGATTCAAACTCACCAGTTATTTCATGGGATAAAGATGTGGCAGTCTGCTTCCATAAAGATTACAGTAAACTTGGAAACTCTATGGGGAGCAGTTCTACCCTGTCCTACAGGGTCGCTATGAGTTGGAATCGACTCAATGGCAACAGGTCTGGCCTTGGTTAATAATTTATAAACTACTGGACTTGTCTAGTATTAAAACAATTTTTCAAGGCAGATAGTTCTTATTCATTCTTTAATAAACTAATTGTTCCTCATCAAAAAAAAAAAAACTTAGATTTTAACCTATCTTTTGCTACAGTTAACTACAGTAATAACTTAGTTTAATACTATCTCTAGTGGAAAAAAAAAGTTTGTTAGTGGTTACTGGGGCAGGGGGAAAGGGGAAAAGGAGGGTTAAAGGTGGTGGAAAAATCGCACTAAGGTTAGAGTTGCACAGCTGATTATTGTAATTGCTGTCGATAAGTTGTACACCTGTAAAAAGTTGAATTAGCAAAAGCTGTGTGATAGATACATTTATAACAATGACAAAAATAAAGAGTAGCTGCTAAGGCTGCTTATGTACAACCAAACACTTCATGGGATTTGGTTCCTTGGTTTGGAGGTTTAGGGTCATGGTCTCCTGGGACATCCCAGTTAACTGGCCTAATAACATGTTTAGTGCTTCTGTTCTACCTCCTAGTTCACTGAGTAGTACCTGGGGTCTTAAAAGCTTGCAAGCGGCCACCCAAGGCACAACAGTTGGTCTCTATGGACCTGCAGCAACAAAGGAAGAAGGAAAGCCAGGAACAGGAGGAACATATGGAATGTATGACTAATTGCCTCCATGAACAACTGCCTCCTTTGCCATGAGACCAGGAGAACTGGATGGCGCCTGGCTACCATTACTGAACATTTGGATCAAAGATTTCATAGAAGAATCCTGATCAAAAGGGGGAAAATGCAGAATAGAATTTAAAATTCTCATGGACTCTAGACTTTCTGGAGCCAAAGGGACTGGATGAACCCCTGAAACTATTGCCCTGAAATTATCTTTAAACTTTAAGCCAAAAATATCCCATGAAGTCATCTTAAAACTGAACAATATTTAGCTTCGCTAGCAAAAAAGGTCTTCCTTGAGCATTACACTCTTTTAAGAACTATATGGGATCAAAGTGACAACAGCAACTCAAAAGATTAGACAGAAACCTTAGGGGGCAGTGAGTTTATGTTAATGATGGAGGAATAATTCAGAAAAGGAGGGTGAAAATGGTTGCACAACTCAAAGAATGTAATAAAAGTCACTAAATTGTACATGTAGAAACTGCTGAACTGGTATATGTTTTGCTGTGTATGTTCTCAACAACAACAACAAAGAATCCTATGGAACAGAAACACACACATAAATTTTCCCATTACTAACATTTATTGAATACAATATTGCCTCACATCTAGGAATTTGCTCACCCAACAAAGGATGTTCAGAAGTCAAATCCTCTCTCCCCACAGTGATAGCTGCTGGAGACAAAGTGGGTGGTGGTGGGGTTCTGTCCATCCGGACACATTCATCTGCCTCTTCTGGCATTTCTTCTTCACACACATCTTCTACTTGATAAACCTGTGAAGACAAACCACACTGCCTTAAGATGTTGTCCAAAATACGTTCAATGAGATGTTCTTACTTTTTAAAAAATTAAGTTCTAAGTGTTTCAAATTTTTTTTAAAAAGTCAAAATGACTATACTGACAGTTTGAAAGGAACTCTGAAATAGCTCTAATGAAGTTTTTCATAATACTTGACAATATTTTACTAAAAGCAAGCTATGGATCAGTGTCTAGGGTAAAAATCACGAAGGTTTCTGAAAATACGATAGTCAAACTGGGATATATTTTTAATTTTGAGAATTAAAAAAAATTTTTATTTTCACACTCAAATAACTATTTTGGGAATTATACTATTGTTTCTGTTAACTTCTAGTGGTCATAAATCAAAACAGATACTAATATTTTTCACAGGGATACTAAGTAAATCTCCAAAATGACACAAAATGTATCAAGAAACATACTGCCTTGAGGACTGCATCTCAGGCTTTTCTTCATTATTAGTATATGAATTAAAGATACTTTCATGGAAAATAATGTCTGAGCGCCTACAAAAAAAGGTATGTGATTGTATCTTTTTTGTTTGTTGGTTTTTTGTTCTGATGAACAATTTTTATAAGCTACTATCAAGTAGAAAGAAAATACCTGTTCTTGAAATAATATCTACACACACACACACACACACACGTTCTTGAAATAATATCTACACACACACACACACACACACACACACACACCCTGAGCCATCTGGCACATTATTTTTTAGTTCTTTACTATTGCTCTATATTCGTGAGGAAAAGTTTTAAAGTCTTTAACTTAACTACCTTGTTATCCAATTGTCAAGATTACACTTAAGAAGATGGAAGCAAAAGCACTCTGAGAAGGAGGCATGTAACTAAACATAACTGAGCTTATTACTAACGCTTCATTAAACTTCAAGCTTAATTTTCAAAGTACACTTCCAGAGACTGACACAGGTATTTTAATTTGTCATCATTTTTTATTTATTTAGCCATTACTTTGAAAGATGATAGGTCACTAAAAACAAAGCCACAAAACAGTTCACCTCCCTTCTTTTATACACAAAGGTTATTATTTAAATTTACAAAGATTTTTTTTTAAGATTACTTAATTAAATTAATATTTCCAATAAGTGTTAACAAAATAAAAAACCTCTAAGCAACATTCATAAAAAAGTAAGTTTTTTTTAGTATGTATTTTTAATCAAGCTATTGAGAAGGTTTGATGATTTGAAGTATATAAAATTAAATATAAAAATGATCAAGATTTCAGAAACCAGCATAAACAATGAGCCATAAAAGCGACTATGAAATTTCATCTAGAAAGGAATAGTTAACAAGTGATGGAGTTTAAAAAAAAAAAAAGACCACTAAGTTTTTAAAGTTACTTGGTCACAATCCTCCATCTGGAAACCTGTTTTATTTACCAACAGATATCCCTTGTCTCATGTGTGTCCAGATCCTTAGATGTGAAGGCAGTCATTGGGGCACAATGCAACAATTATAGCTGCTAGTATCTGTTCATGATAATAAAAAATTATGATTATATCCAATACAGGGGAAAATCATCCCCCAAAAAGTGTCCTTGAGTTTAAAGAACAAAAAACACCTTCTAGTGAGGGGAATCTGCTGTAGTAGTGATCCATGAATTCATAATTACCTTAGTTTGGCAAAGAGTGAGGGGGATGTTGATCCAGATGTAATTAGACAAGTATGGTTTTATCAACCAAGTCAACTATATCTATGTAGCATTCCTTTATATTATTTTTCTTTTGAAAATCATTATCCTTTCTTAAAAAGCTGAAACTCTGTAATCTCAGTATCATCACATTTACTCAAACATCTGCTACAGGATCTTTTAAGGAATGAAAGTTTGATCATGCATAGAATTCTGATTTTTTAAAAAATAATGAAAGAGTATTAAAGAATGGAGAGCCATAACACAAATACTGTATTTTAAAATAATCATTAAATACATTAAAATGCTTTTCATTCTTTATAGTTAAGCCTCACTATACATACTTTCTTCCACATTTCCCCAGTAAAGGCAAAATTAGTTAATGAATAAAAGCAGGCAAAGGCAAATCTGTCACAGACATCTGGCACCATCAGCATAAAAAAATCTAAATGCAACAACTGAAATATTGAATAAAGAGATGAAATGAAGGTTTTGCTCACAAGATCAATTTCTCTTTGGCTAGAACTATTTTAAAGATAGCAAAGACTGCCGAACTTGCCTCATTCCCGTCTCTCTCTGTTCCTAAACAAACTGAGGAACACTTATTAGTTCTGAATTATCTACTTCATCATATCTTATTTATCATACCCAAATATCAACGAAAATTCACCTTTACCTTTCAGACTTTCACACCTCTTAAGAAATAAATGTATCCTTCTACCTTTAAATGGAGCCCTGGTGGCGCGGTGGTTAAGAGCTATGGCTGCTAACCAAAAGGTCAGCAGTTCGAATCCACCAGCCGCTCCTTGGAAACCCTATGGGGCAGTTCTACTCTGGCCTACAGGGTCGCTATGAGTCAGAACCGACTGGACGTCACATAACAACAACCTTTAAATGTTTCAAAATAATCAGAAAACTGTAATTTGTGAAGAAGTCTTTTGATTTAAAAAAAAAAAAAAAATGCTGTCAAAGATAGAAAAGAAAAACAATAACAATTTAATAAACAGAGCTACAGTACTCAAAGAAAGCTAAAAGACAGCATGGGAACATCTACAGCAAGTGTAATGATCGTATCAGTGACAGCAGAGAACATTATTATTTTCGTGGGAAAAAAAAATCTTCCAAAATGAGATAATATAAATTTTCTCTTAATTAAAAAGGAGGAGGGTGAGAAGTAACAGAAGTAGACCTTAAACACTGTTAGCTTTGATTTAATTAGTTTTAAAGTATTACTATATTTGTGATATTTCTATTCCAAATATCTTCCCCCAAAGTTACTCTAATAAAAACAATTAGAAAAATATATGGAATATAAAGAAATTTTATTTTTAACTTGAAAAATCACTCAACTAGAAAGTGAGAAAATTAAATTATATTTGATTTCTTTGAAGGTACTGTACACTTCTTATGTCCCTGTCTCTATGTTACAATATCCATTGTAAACTCTTCAAAAACCCATTGAAACAAAACATGATAAAGAAATGAATGACAAACACTTCTAGATTTCCACTGTTGTTTTTGTCAAGTTCTCTTTTTAATAAAACTGAATGGGAAGTGGACATTCAATCTCTTTATGTCTATTAAGGTCAGTCAGAATGATAATGAAAAATCTATACGCTTTCATCCTGAGAACTAGAATGTTTCCCATTAAGGAACAGACCTTTAAACTCCTCTCTTTTCTGAGCTAAAAGTTTTTAACCTTTAAGGGATAAATCCCTTCAATGAGATTTGATATAATACCTCCCTTTGAGAAGATTGTTTTCCTCAGTTAGAAATTATGAATTTGATCATTCTGAGTGAACATTTAGAGACTTCATTTCAATTTTTATTGTAAATTATTTTATAAATAAAAAAATCCTCCAAAGAATGTTTAAAGTAAAGATTTCTCAAGATAATTTTCCTTTCTAGGCAAGATGTACTGTTTTAGAGGTTTATTCTGATAAATCTCACACAATCTCAATTATTCAAAATCTTTACTCCTCCCAATGGATTTTTTATCCTCAATATTAAATTCAGCCACTGAAATTTTGAACTTTTTAAATGAGAAATATGTTAAGTATATACTTTCTCTTAGAAATAAAAATTTAAGTTTAATATTCTATAAAATGGTTTACAGTTAATGTTTTTGTAAACTTGGATTCTTTCCTAGAATAAATGCTTTTTATAAAATTTTAATTACAAAACACAAATTTACAAAAAAATTACATCATATAAGCATACCTCGACCTTGAAACAAAAGCCCCTTAAGGCCCAGAATTTCAGAATGCATACAACCAAAAGGTTAGCTAGAGAAACCATAAGTTTAAGAACATACAAGCCAACAGAAGGGATCTATGAAGGATAATCACCTTAAGAGAAAAAACTTTGTGCAGATGACACTGGTTCAAATGCATTCCCTTGGGGAAAAAAAATCAACTCTGTAAAGATAGCAGATGGATTTGTTTAAATAGTAATAAAATTAACGAGGGACTTTAATAACCATCAAACCACAAATTATCAAGCATGCAACCATACTACAACAAACAATGGCTTTTTTTTTTTTTTTGCCCATATAGCATGTTTGTCAGACACTGACATCTGGAGATTTCAAGCTTTTTAAATTCACAGGCATTTAGATCTAGCGATATAACACAGTGTGGGAAACAATAGTTTTTACTTTCAGTTCAGCAAGAAATTCAAAGAGCTTCCAAGGGCTTACCACTGGTGGATCAACAGGTGCTGGTGGTTGTACTTGTAGGTTTACCGCAACAGTCTGTGGAGGAGGAAGAGTCTGAAATGGCAACTGGACCAAAGCTTCTGCAGCTGGAAGTTCCTCTTCTGACACCAAGGCATTCTGCACCAAAACCTGGCCCTGGGACAGAATTTCAGGCTGCACTTGTAAAGACTGCATAGACTGCAAGGGCAGTGGTGGAATCTGAGCTGGAGGAGATGTCGACATCTGTGGAGAGGTTGCGATTGGGATTGGAGAGGACTGCAGGGTTGAATATTGCTGGTGTGATGCTGGAGATACAATCTGCTGACCTGGGGACACCAAGGCGGACTGCTGAACTGGGCCAATGTGCACAACAGGGGAAGCCGGAAGTGGAAGATGGGATGGAAGGTTCAGCTGTGCTGTAGCTTGTACCTGATTAGCAGTGGACTGCTGCAAGTTTGGGCCTGGCTGGAGAGCTGATGACACAAGAGGGTGTGGCTGAATAAGTGCTTGTGGATGAATAATTATAGTAGGAGACTGACTCGGTGAGTGAGGTGGTGGAGGAGACACTACTACAGATTGCTGTGCTGACTGTGACTGACTAGGAGACACTGTTAGAGGAGGAGGATGACTCTGAATCGGCGAACAATGTTGTGACTGGGCATTACTAGGAGCCTGAGGAAGGCCATGGTTTTGGAGTGGTATACAGTGTTGGGATGGGGGTGGGTCTTGAGTTGGATTTTGAAGTGTGATTGGCTGAATCTGCTGTTGCTGCTGCTGTAATATCAGCTGATGGTGGGAAACCTTGGGAGGTGGTGAATGAAGAGGAATTTGTTGATGTTTTATTAGAGAATGAGGTTGAATTGGAGAATATGAAGCTGTGAGGGAAAAAAATGAAAATTAGTATTTATTTCAAAATATCATAGACATTTTCAAATAAATCTAAAGGAGGCAAGTCTTCACATCAAAAGGTCATAATCATCAGAAATCTATTACAAGTCTTCCAGACAAGAGTGATTTGAAAATTTAGTGACAAACAGCTTTTCCTTGGAAAACTACAAAGATTTTTGTAAATTAAGCTGTACTGTGATAAGCTCCAAAAGAAAACTGCATGAAACAATTGACTCATAAATCTGATTCTACACATAATTTATTTTTATTAAACTTTATAAGTTTCCAGGATATCTGCATTAACCTTTGGCAAAGTTTATCTACTTGAACTTTTTCTTTGGGTGGGAAGCAGAAGAGTCCTACTGAACAAATAAAGTATATATAACTTCAAAATTATAAAGCTGCTATACTAAAATCATAAACTAAAGGTCACACTTTCAAATCTATGTGTAACATGCAATAATCAAGGTAATTACTTATAAAGCTTTCCAAAACAGTTTGTATTATTTGAACCAGAAAAGAGAAATGTTTTGTATAAAAGTTTAATTCAACAAATTAAGCAAAAAACACAGTGTAAATCCTGTAGCACAGTTAAACAATGACTGTAACTAAGAACTGAAACCTCAGGGGTCATTCCAAATCCAGGAGAGGACTAAGTTTTGCTGGCAAAGAGAATGCAGCAATCAGAGGTACGTGCTTTCTAAATAAATGATCTTGTTTACTCGTCCCCCCCATAAAAAACCTCCAGTAATCTAAGTGATGGTATCATTTTCTCCACTGAGAAGCCACTCACAACAGGGCTAACACATGTAAGAATTAGCATAATCAAGTTGTAAGGAGTTCCCCCATCATAATGCCTCTTCTGTGCACTGGTGCATCTGTTTTACACAGAGGGAGATGCTGGTGAAATCCTATCTAAATAAGAATGGAAACTGGGGTGACCACAAGATAAACTGAAATGACGGCTTAATACTAAAATATGCACATTTAAATATCTGTAAAAATCATACACATTTAAAATGGCTCTAAAGACAGAGCAAATTTTTTTTCTAAATCTCAGAATGTTAAGATAAAGACTATAACACTTTGCATCTATTTTTATATTCAACCACATTTCTGACAATAGCCTCGTAAAAACTTCCAACATTTTTTTTTTTAACATTTTTGCATTTGGTTGGTATTATTTAAAATTTGCGGTCTCCTTTAAAGAAATTAACATCTGATTAACATCTCAAGAAAAAGGCATTTCGAAGGTCTGACACAATTGTCAAAAAATGGAAATTACATGTAAAATCTAACAAAACAATTTTCATGTATTAACTACAATAGCACTTCAAACTAAGACTCGAAATTGTATGTCAGTACTTTATAAATGTGTTGCTAGATACTCTATATTGTAGAGCATTCCAAAAAAGGTGAATTAATAACATCTTGGATTTCTATAAAGCGCATTTCCTTCAAGGGGCTCAAGGTGCTTTCACATCTCTTTCACTTGTCCTCACAAAATGCCTGTCAAGTAGGTCAGAATAATTATTCCCCTTTTAAAGGTAAGGAAATGGATTTTTTACAAGCATAACAAGTAAAATTATGATTAAAATTTACCATATTCTTCAAGTGCAATGGAATTATAACCACTAGAATAACAATTCTTTTTGTGCTCTAGCAAATAAGCAATCTTTTTATGTAACTGATAGATTAAGGCTACCCTTTCACCTAAATTAAATGCTTCTCACATCAGAAATCAACTACCCAGCACATATATTACAGAATAATTATGAGGATATTTGAAAAACACTTAAATGTCATAGTACTCTGGAAAATCATAGCATATTTGTTAATTTTTCTAATTTCAATAAATACTAAAGAGTGGCCTTAAATTTGGAGAATTAATGATTAGCACCATCTCTCACATATGTATAACTCATTATTTACAAGATATATTATTTCATTCAATAGTTACAACAACCCTATGATGTACACAGGATACGACACTAACCCAATATATTACAAGTGAAAAAACTCTAAGTAGTTAAGTGACTCGCCTGAAATCACCTAGTTATCAAGGGGCAGAGCTGGGTTGCAAAGAACTCACAATCCTAATTGAGTCTAGGGCCCTTTTCACTACACAATGAATAAATGTCTCCAAAAAACAGTACCAGTATATGTGTTTTAATTAGACTGATAGCATAAAAGCTCTAAAAACTGCTATTAGAAAAAAGAACTTCAGCACTAGTAGAGTTCACGATAATTTCCAGACTTTTGGCTGAAGTTTTCCTTTGCTTGATGTATTAAAAACAGAATTATTAACTATCAAGTGGGAACTCCACCTTCAAGGAGAAATTGATGCAGAAAAACCAAATGCTTTTAGCCTCCCAGAAATAACATATAAGGAAACAATAACCATGTTTATTTATAATCTTTAGGCTATACTACCTTGGAATACGAGTAGTTTTTTTTTTATATTTGAAAATGATCCATAGGAACAGGCATTTTTTTTAATTGGAGAAAAGGACAAATTACTAATTCTAGAATCTCTCAAAAAATCTTAGCTTCTGATTAACTTCCAAGCAATGAGAGCAGAAAAAGTAAAAGGGTGAAAAATACAGCTGCTGCCTCACCGTTAGTAAGATACGAATTCTTTGAATAACTGCAAGGCTTAAAACGTTTAAGTTTGGTAGCTGCAAAGGTTGATGGAGTTTAGGAATGTTCTCTGGTTTTATTTCTAACACCGCGGAATACTGGAGTTGGTTAATATGCATAAAATATGATTTTGGAATTGCAATTGTCCCTCAATGCCTGAGATTCTTTGATGGTTTTTGGCTCACTGGTCTCCTCCACACCTACAAAAAATATTGGCCATCTGAGCAAGGCAAACTATAAGGCTATTATCACAGAATCAATGAAAGGGGGAAGAGTAAGTTGCAACTTGGAACCAGGTATTGAGAGTTCAGGATACTGCAAATCTGAAAGCAGATCTTATCTGAACTAACCCTGAAAGAGTTTCTAGCTTTCTCTGAAGATACCACTGTCTTTGGAAGGAAATTAACCTACCCTTCGTTATAATCTATCAAAACTATAGGAATCACTAGAAATTGTCCCCTGAGCAGTCATTCCAAGCACAGTGGTTCATGTTGCTCCACACTGACTCTGTCAATACTGATTAGAAGCTGGTTTGAGGCTGAAAATACTCTGGACAGTGCAGTGCAAAAACCCAGTTATCAAGCCATAGAAAGCAGAGCCTGGCACACAGATGTTTATACAAAAGAATTCAAGTCTAACTATTCATGAGTGGATTTATTAATGTATGCATCATAACAAAGCCTGGACTTATCTAGGATTCAGATTTAACAGTCAGCAGAGTAATACTTCATTAGTGTGAATGGGAAAAATTGTGCAGTAATTTCTAAAACCAAATGGAAAAAGGAATCCTGAACTATTAATCCAACAAATATTTACTCCTACATAAAGTAGAGGGTCAGTGAAAAAGAAAAAGACCCTCAACGAGATGTACTGACAGAGTGGCTGCTAAAATGGGCTCAAACATAGCAACAATTTTGAGGATGGCGCAGGACGGGGCAGTGTTTTGCTCTGTTGTACAGTGTCAGTGTGAGTCAGAACCAATGGCACCTAACAACAACAATTTTATCTAAGTAGATATAAGGTACAACTAAGTGCTGTCAGGATGCAAGGATGAAATGGTGACTCTGAAAAAACATTAAATGAGTTAATAAGTGTAAAGTGCTAAAATACTGCCTGACACAAGTGCCCAATACTATCATCCTACCTTCACGGAGCTTTACTCCCTGGAAGTGAGGATCGGTAAGTATGTAAGTAACTATAAAAGAAGAAGTACCACAGGGGAGCATAAAAATGTTAAAGAAATTCAGAATGAGAAGAGAATTTAACTAGGGGAATCAGACAATTCTAAGATTTTGAGATTGGGTCATGCAGAGAATGTTGGCAATATTAGCTAGCACATGGAGGAAACATGAAAAGAGAAATCAGTTTAGGTGGAGAAAAGCAGACTTTAGTGATGTAAAATAAATCTTTTTAAAAGCAGAGTAGAGTTACAAAAGGATAGAAAGAACATGCTTACCTGATGTTGCTGCTGTCTCAAAGGAGGATTTTTTAAATTAAATATAAGTGAGATGTCTAGCCAAGTGCATCACACACATACAGACTCAGTAAAGATTAGGTATAAAAATCTATGCAGATATATTAAGAATAGGGGAGACCTAAGTATCCTTGAGAAGTAAAGGAAAGCATCCAGCATGAGAAAGACAAAAGCTGTTATAATAACTACTGGAGAAGGTCACAGGTAAAAGAAGATGGGACCAATGATACAAGCAAATGGTGCTGATGTTGAAGAACAGGTAATTCCTTAATATTATTAAAAGTGAAGAAAGCTCAACACTGTAAAGTCTGAGATGAAGAGACAAGACTGTAAGGAAGCTCACTCTGGATGGCTCCAACATTTTCAGTACGAGAACCATGAGTGAAGGTTCTCTGTAGACTGTGAAAGGCAGCACATGTGGGATTCAAAGCTTATTGAGAATGAAAGAAGATTTAGATTAATTCCCTGACATCTTCCTCTCAGAGATGAAATCAGAGAAAAGGGAAAAAACAACACAGTAAGGAAAATAATTATGCATAACCTTTTTTATGAAAAGTGACAAATTCCTCCCACTGATGAGAAATAATCTACTTGCTTTTTTATAAGCTTTTAATTTCACTCCACTAAAACTACAGGCAAATGTTCTGTTTAAAGCCAAAACATTTCAGTGATAAGGTGCACTGCTAGGTCTTACAAATGTTGATACCAGTACATATTGAAGATGTTAATCAAATGCCAATTTCCAAAAATGTCTATTTTATTGTTATAATTTGTTTTAGTTGTTGGGCTTTTCTAACTTTCCTAAGCAACAATATTGAGATGTTCTTTTTTTAATTTATAACTGTTTTTAAAGTATTACTTTTTAACTGTTTTAAAAGTATTATTCTTATTCAAGTAATAGAATCCTTTTTCTCTGACTGCTAAGAAAATTAATAATGCAACCATTTTCAATAGAAGTTTTATCCCACCTGGTGCTATTAATTGGTGAATACTTGATGTTCGGGTGACAGCTGTGCTTCGTGACTCCAGACTTGAACTTTCTCCTTTCTTATTACTTTCTGGAGAAGGATCTCGTTGGCTGATTTTAGAACTGGTCACGGTTGTTTTGTTATGACAAATTGTCAATGACTGAGTTTGGCCAATGCTTTTCGGTGGACCATTCTGTGAGCTAGATAATACACCCAACTTCTGGCTGCGTAATGTTAAATTCTGAACCTAAGAACCACATAACAAAAAATTAGGATGAAAACAGTTGGTTTTAAACAATGTGGTAATAACTGCCATTATAACTATGGCAACACATTTATACTCTGCTTTTCATACAAAAAGCTCCAAGCACTTGAAACAAATGATTAACCCTGAAGAAAAGGGGAGTTGTTATTGTAAGTAGCCAAATCTTAAATAAAAAGTAGAAATTTTTTACAATTAAGAGAAAGAATCACAAAGAGCTAAATGAAAACAGAATGTGTGTGTGCATGTGTTGCAAATGAACTACAAATATGAGGAAATTACTCTGCAGCATACTACATTTTAATGTTACCAGCTCTAACTGTAGAAATTATGAAGGAACATTAATCTTTTAAGCAAAGAAAATTAATCAATTAATCAAATCACCTACTCCATTGTGATTAGAATTATGAAAAGTATTTTTGATAAACTTTTTTTTTTTTAAGTTAAATTTTGTTGCTGTTGTATTAAATACTCACTTGCCTTTTGTGGACTAAATCTCATGCAAAGATGGTGCATGGTCCTGAAATGGGTATTTGTGATGGTTCCTTCTGTCTACGCCCGGGGCTATAATACCGGCAGTCTGAATGGTGGCAAGGCCCATCCCAATTACCTTCACCTGAGATTTATAACATTTCTAAGTAGCAAAACAGAAAATGCTTCTCTAATAACTGCTTGACTCTTTGTCTATCTGGAATGAATGCAAAGGAGCCCTGACGGTACAGTAGTTAAAACACTGGCCACTAACTGAAAGGTTGGTGGTTCAAACCCATCAGCTGGTCAGCAGGAGAAAGATGTGGCAGTCTGCTTCCGTAAAGATTTACAGCCGTGGAAACTCTATGAGGCAGTTCTATTCTGTCCTACAGTGTCGTTATGAGTTGGAATCAACTCAGTGGCTGTGGGTTTGGTTTTTTGGGAATGAATGCATCAAATACATTTTTGCTAGCACTGGCCCATGGCAGAAAACTGAGGTAAATGAGATTCTAAGATAATAAAGCAAATCATATACTGTTGCTTTGTAAATGTTCTTCAGTTTCATGCGTGTTCTGTCTTTACATCATTACTGATGCTCAAAGACTACACCTTCTCTTTCCAAGTATTCTCTCAGCCAACAGCAGGTACTACTAAATAAATGTCCACTTCAGGTCAGTCAAGGTATTAATCAATATCTTTCTAAGCTACTAAAAGAACTTTCTAAGTGAAACCACAGGGAGTATCTGCTCTGATTTTTCTCAAGTACTTTATCGCAATGTAAACATAAATGAACACCTACTCACACAATGTTTTAATGCAAATGAATACAAAAATGAAATATAATGAAATCCAGAATTGCCATACTGCCACTCAAAGCCCTCCACAACCTAGGTCCAAATCACTCTGAGCCCCATTTTCTACTACTCCAGTCCACAATTCTCATATTCTAGCCAAACTGCATTGCTTACATACCTTGCACTTCCTTCATAGGTATCCTGGCTCAAGCTCCACCTATCTAAAAATGCCATTCTTCCTCAAAGCTGTCTGCTGAAGCTCAACCCATTCTTAGTCAAAATCCTACTCATCCTCTAAGAAACCTTCCCGAAGTCCCTGGTTAAAAATAATTTCTCCCTCCCCTCTATACCACTTTTCCCACAGAATTTGGATCACATTGGTCTATAGCATCGAAAAATGTTCAGCTTCTTTTGAGAATTACTAATGTGTGTGTCTGTTAATGGAAACCCTCGTGGCGTAGTGGTTAAGTGCTATGGCTGCTGCTAACCAAAAGGTCAGCAGTTTGAATCCACCGGCGCTCCTTGAAAACCCTACAGGGCAGTTCTACTGTCCTATACGGTCGCTATGAGTCAGAATCGACTCTATGGCAATGGCTTTGGGTTTTTGGGGGTTGTGTCCGTTAATACTGAGCCTCCAGCTGACAGGCTCTCACCTCTGACATTCATTTTGGTACTCCCTGCAGTCCAGTGCTGCAGACATAACAGAACCTAAACAAGTCTGTGGGATTTTCCTATATCAGATTCTGGATTATATATTACATGACTTTTTTTT